AGCCAATTTCGAAAATTGAAAGCATGGCGAAACAAGTCAAAGAGTCAGGAGAGACCCTGAGCGAGGCTGCTGTTATGCTGAAGGTATTGCCTCAAAAGTATAGAAACGCTTGGTTATCTCTTGAGGCGTCAAAACAAACAACACCGAATTTAACAGCATGTCTTTTAGACGAGAAAGCCAGTTTGAGTTCTTACGAAGAGATGGAGAGTGCACTGGCTGCAGTGTCGATGAAAGACGAAAAGAAGCAATTGAAGAAAAACTTTATATGTTACAAATGTCGAAAATGTGCCACATTGCTAAATATGCCACATTGCTAAATATTGCAGGATAAAAGTGAAAGAAGAGCCAAATCGAAACAGAGAAAATACAAATCGAGAAGGTACAAATAGACAAAGTGCTTTTATTGTAGAAGAGGCTGGAATGTCAACTAGTCAGAATGACATTGAGCTGACAGTAAATTATTCTGATACAGATTCCTGGATTTTGGACAGCGGTGCCTCAGCTTCTATGTGTTATGTGTTACCGAAGTGACTACTTTGCCACAATAGAAGAAGTAAATAGTTTGTTCTAGGGAACAATCAAAATCTAGCTGTCAAAGTAACAATAAAAGTGCAAAAGTGAATAAACAATCGGTGGTATGATGCCTCAATAATTGAATGTTGTATGTGCCGGACATAAAGAAAAACCTTTTCTCTGAGGCTGTTGTCACTAAAAAAGTATGACAATCGTGAAGAAAGACTGACGCAAAAATTTATTATTCTTTCGGTCTTACGGCCTGTGCAGTTCGTGATATAAATAACATTTACCAGCTACTGTTTTGTACTGTAACTATTGAAGGGAACTCAGTTATCATGAACTCGTTAAAAACAAGGCACGAGAGACTTGGACATTTAAATGTGAAAAGTTTGCGGGAAACGGTGTCAAAGAAGCTGTTAGATAATGTTAACTTTAATGATATAGATAATTTCTTTTGTGAAGCTTGTTTGTATGGCAAGCAACACAAAATGCCATTCAAACAAAAGGAAGTTACAAGAATGGGAATTGGAGAAAAATTTTTTAGTGATGTATATGGACCAATGAACTGCCATTCAGTACAAGGATCAAGATATTTCCTCATATTCAAGGATGATTATTCCGGATATCGTGCTGCTTATTTTATTAAACATATGTTTGATAAAATAACAACAATAACAACAAGTCAGATGTGTTATATTGCTTTAAATAATTTTGTAGTAAATTAAAAACTAAATTTGGACGACCAATGAAAGTATTCCTTGTAGACAATGGTACCGAATACTGTAACACTGACTTTACAGACTATTTGCACAAAGAAGGTATCGAACTGGAAACAACTGCACCTTATATTCCACAGCAAAATGGTAGAGTAGAGAGAGATAATAGACAATTGTAGAAAGTGCTCGTTCCATGATGCATGGAGCTAATAGTCCAACATATGTGTTTGTAGACAGAAGCTGTCAGTACAGCTGTGTATATCTTGAATCGTACACAAACCAGTCAAACTCCAAATTCTACACCGTTTGAGCAGTGGTATAGTAAGAAACCGATTTTAATACACATAAAGTCAAGCTTACGTGCATGTTCCAGACCTGAAACGTACGAAGCTAGAAGCGAAAAGCAAGAAATTTAGTTGGTTACGAAAATGCATCAAACAACTGCCGACTCTTTGATCTAAAAACTAAAATGGTTGTAATATCAAGAAATGTAATATTTAATGAAACTATTAAAGACTTAAATTAAAGTGAGCATGAAAATAATGTGAAGATAAGTGCAGGTGATGAATTGTTCGCTCAAGAATATGAACAAGAGAATAACAAGGGAGGACAAGAAAGTGAAAATCAGATGCATATTCCAGAGGAGAATATTGTCAAAGAAGAAAATATTATTTGAATTAAATCTTGCAGAAATTGATGTACTTGATGTACAAAGCTACAAGGAAGCATTGGAAAGCAAATAATCTAATCAATGGAAAGAGGCAATACCTGAAGAACTTAGAGCATTAAATAAAAATCAGACTTGGGAACTTACAAAGTTGCCTGAAAATAAATCACTAATAGACTCGAGATGGGTTTTTAAGGTTAAGAGAACTCAAGACGGAGAAATATCTCGTTTTAAAGCAAGACTTTGTGCAAAAGGATATATTCACAACAAAAAGGAGTGAGGATGTCAACAGTGAACCAGATCAAGTATGCAAGCTAAGGAAATCTCTTTATGGTCTCAAACAAATGGGTATATACCGGAAACCTGAACGGAGTAAAAGTACTTCTAATCATCTACGTAGATGATGGGCTGGTGATTTCTTCGGAGATCAACAGAATTCAGAAAGTTTTAGACATTTTAAAAGAATAATTCGAAATTACAGAAGGTGAAGTTAACTATTTTGTTGGGTTAGAGATTTCACAAGATAAAGTTGATGGTTCGATTTAAATTAGTCAGGAACATTATATCAAACAAATAATCCCACGTTTTGGACTTGATTATGCTAATCCGGTCAGTATCCCAGCTGATCCACATACTGATTTGTCCGTTGACACAAGTTCTTTATTAAATGATGGAGATATTCCATATAGACAAGCAATAGGTTCATCAATGTTCCTACAACTAAAACCGGTTCTTATGTTAACACGAACGGATATAGGTATGTATTTATCATGTCACGTGTTGTTCGTGAGGTGACATCCGTAATATCATCTTTAGTGGGATAGTCAAGTTGCGTTATACTCCAGTCGGCAGAGGCCGAAAAGTTACTGTTGGTGACATTTTCTTGATAACTCGGAAATAACTACACAGGTCTACTTTAAATGATGAAGTATTTTATCAGGAAAAAAGTTATTAACAATTTAATCGTGAAAAAATTTTTTTTTTTAGTATTTTTCTTTAAATAACTCAGCGGGATGACTTTGTACGAAAAAATGATTAGGACATGATTTTGTTCGTAATAAAAATAGCTACAAAATGGCGGTGGTCCGATTACGAAATTTGCAATAACAAAGCCGTGAGATTGAAAAAACGGTATAAAACGCCAATTTTTTTAAGTTGCTGTAAAAATGTCAATTATAAACAAAAAGTGATAAAACTTTCGAAAACTATAGTTCAATATATATACAATAATGACGCTAAAGCCGAAAATCAGGAGAGCAAAACTTTTTGTTCTATAAGGTGTTATACATTCATCGGCATCTGAAACTCGAAACTTTGCCAAATTTGTTCGAAGCTTTGCTGACACTTGAAATTTGGTACACACATAGTGTAAATATGCAGAAACCAAAAGCAATTTGCAAAATTCAAGTATCTTCATTTTTGCAGTTTTGGTAAGGTTTTATACGTCACCCTAGTTTTATACGTCACCGTTTTTTTAATTTTTGGACGTATATTTATGTATATTTATAAAATATTCCATTACGGTAGATTAGCCAGCATAATTACCTACAATTTAAAAAAATATATATTTTCATCGTTTAGATCCTAAGCTACTTAACATTTTGCGCCTGTTAGCCGTAGTCGTACATTATTCAACATATTAACATAAAACAAAATCGTACGTGTGGGGTAAACCTTTAACTTTAAGTAAACAATTGTTTAAATTTACTGTTGCATATTTCTAATAGTATACAAGCGCCGAAGAGCGGAGCTCGCGCTCGAAAATGAAAAGTTAAAGGTTTACCCCACACGTACGATTTTGTTTTATGTTAATATGTTGAATAATGTACGACTACGGCTAACAGGCGCAAAATGTTAAGTAGCTTAGGATCTAAACGATGAAAATATATATTTTTTTAAATTGTAGGTAATTATGCTGGCTAATCTACCGTAATGGAATATTTTATAAATATACATAAATATACGTCCAAAAATTAAAAAAACGGTGACGTATAAAACTAGGGTGACGTATAAAACCTTACCAAAACTGCAAAAATGAAGATACTTGAATTTTGCAAATTGCTTTTGGTTTCTGCATATTTACACTATGTGTGTACCAAATTTCAAGTGTCAGCAAAGCTTCGAACAAATTTGGCAAAGTTTCGAGTTTCAGATGCCGATGAATGTATAACACCTTATAGAACAAAAAGTTTTGCTCTCCTGATTTTCGGCTTTAGCGTCATTATTGTATATATATTGAACTATAGTTTTCGAAAGTTTTATCACTTTTTGTTTATAATTGACATTTTTACAGCAACTTAAAAAAATTGGCGTTTTATACCGTTTTTTCAATCTCACGGCTTTGTTATTGCAAATTTCGTAATCGGACCACCGCCATTTTGTAGCTATTTTTATTACGAACAAAATCATGTCCTAAGCATTTTTTCGTACAAAGTCATCCCGCTGAGTTATTTAAAGAAAACTACTAAAAAAAATTTTTTTCACGATTAAATTGTTAATAACTTTTTTTCCTGATAAAATACTTTGTCAGCAAATTAGCCTGTTATTGTACTCATCATTTAAAGTAGACCTGTGTAATTATTTCCGGGTTATCAAGGTTTGACACACGCCGAACCTCTACCAACTGGACTATTAGGTCTAATTGTAAGGTGCGAAAAATAACTATACTTTTCGAGTTACCTCTGATGACAACTATGACAACATAACTTTGCAGTATTTTTATCCAATCGAATAATTTAATACTAAGTTACGAATAATTGCTAAGTGATGGTTATATATTTGTTAAAACGAAATCAGGTATGGTATTTACACATACAGGGTGTCCGAAAATAGTGCGTCAATATTCCTGAGGGTTATTCGACACGAAAAATTTATGCTATAATATATTTTTTCGAAAACTCAAAATTAGCGGAGTTACAAGGCGTCAAAATAATTTCTAATTAATTTTTTCTAGTAACTTTTTTGCTAGTGTACCAATATTCTTCAATTTTTTTTGTGCACTTATCACTAGTAGGTATCCTTTGGTATTCACGTTCTCCCCCCCGGAATATTGACGCATCATTTCCGTACACCCTGTGTTTGAATCATACTCATATACTTACCAGTGTGCCCATTATTCAGTATCTTCACTTCTTTCAGATTACTATTGAAATGATCGAATTTCAGTGGTGGAAATTTTATTATTTTTACATTATCTTCTTCAATATCAATTGGACTTTGGTGTTTTCCTACACATTTACTGTATTTTTCGGACCAGTGATTTGGACCTGAAAAGATTCAAATATATAGGGTGTCCCAGAATTATGTGTAGAACAGAAAATCACAGATTCGTGGGCTCAAAATAGGCAGATATACCTATATCCAAAATCACTTTGTTTGGCTGCTAGATGGCCTCAAAGTTCGTGAAATTTTTTTGAATTTTGTAAATAACTGGAATATGTATTAATCGATTTTAAGTATTTTTGGGGTGTGGTCTTTTGCTTCCAATCTACAAATTTTGATGTTATAATACAACTCCTACAAAATTGATATATGGTTATGAAATATACAGCGATTGGGAAATGTGTTCTGTAACCAGGTCCTAACAGTTACAGCAGAATGCGCCGGACAATCGTCATGCTGAACATAAAAACAATTTCAGTAGGCAGTGGTAAATTGTCCAATTCATTAGTAAAAAACGTTTGGAGCATATTCAGGTAGCTGTTTCCATTACATGTATCTTCAATTATTCCATAAAAGGATCCCGAATACCAAACATTTACTTTTTTGAAATATTGCCGCCTAGATGGTATTCTAAAATGAGAATTCTCGGTACTCCAATATCGCAAATGTTGTGAAGCTACAATGTCATTTGTAGAAAAAGTAGATTAGTCCGAAAACATAGGTAATCTGTTGATGGAAATTTCGTTCCATACCTCCGACAGACAAAAATCGCCTTCCTCGAAAGTGTGGTTGTGAATTGGTTTGTATGCCAGAATTTTATTTTGTTTCAAAATTTTTTGTATGTGTCTTTTTCACAATTCCTAAGTATTCTGAGCGTCTCCTCATTGACGTGGTTGGATATTCATTTACTAACTATAGAACTAGCACAGTAACGGCATCTTCATTATCATAGTTTTTCTTTTGCCTAGGTGTTTTTGCCAGTGAACCGGTTCTCAAAAATTTTTGAACTACTTGTAATGACGACTGCACCACATGCACACCTAGGTATTTTTCATTGAAATCTTGAATTACTTGACGATAATAATTGTTATTACCCTTACCACTGTATTAGATATATTTTTTTGCTGTAAAGTTAGCATTTATCTGATAATTAATTAGGTACCTACTGTTGAGGGTTTTTAATGAAGTACAGTGACACAAGTGAAGAATAAAATGTCATTTTATTCACAACCTTCTATTTGAAATAAAAAAGATTTTCCTCTTATTCACCCTAACCGCGGACGTAAATATTTGTAAATAATCAAAGTAGGCCAATTTTTCCACAAATTGAAATTATGTCACATCTTTTAATTTGAAATTTTTCCTAGTGACACTTTTCAGAAATATTAAAAATAAAGCTAGTTTATTCTCGTGACATTTTAAGATTTCTTTATTTTCTGGACATGAAATGTTAAGTTTCACCATAGATAGCAACCTCATTTTAAATTCAATCAAAACTTTTTTCCGTAAAATGTAAAATAAAAAAGTTTTTCCTCTTATTCTCCCTAATCGCGGACATACTGTATATATCAAACACTTTTTTTATTCTACCTCCCATTTCAAATTTATTTTCCACTCAACCCATGACTTATCACTTACATTACATAACATGATTGCAACACTATTCATTACGACTACGACAACACATTGTGAAGAAACATATATTTAATTATACATAGTGTTTCGCATAAGAACCGACACAGAGCAGGGACATATAGAGGAACCCAAAATATGGTGATTTAACGCAACTAAGCTGCACCTGAGAAGTTATAGGCCTTGAAAATGGGGTTTCAAATTTCGAAAGAAATCAATATTCCAGTTATACTTGAACTTATGACCAAAAGAGTCTAAAGTATTTACGAGTATTGTAAGCATACTCTTTTGGCTATATCTTTCTTATTAATACAGATTGATCTATCAAATCTGATATCACTGTAATGTTAAAAATATACAGGGTGTTCTGTCAAAAAAATATAAGATTGGCTTGAATCTGGAATCCCGAAATGCAGTTATTTTTTAAGTGGTTTTTTCTACAACATTAGCTGATACAATATTTTTTAAGTACGAAAGCAACAAAGGTAAGAGGGGGCAAGAAGAAATATCATGTTTTTATATAAACGAAAATAATTATTAACAAATATTTCTGTGTATACATACCTAAATAAATAATATCCAATATCCATATACTTATCATAAATCCAAACAAAATAACTGAATAGCTAAAACCATAGCTGGGAAATTTTTTCATTTTGCATTTTATTTTCATTGACATATTATTTGTTTGAATCTGATAATATGAGAAACTATTAATGTCGAAAATCGCAATAGCATGTATGGATAGAATGATATCAAGGTGAGAACAAAGGATATTCAATCAGATTGTAAAAATGGAGAAATTTTGCAAAACTAAAATAAAAGCGTTATTTCTTGGAAAATAAAACAATGTATGAAAATAATTTAACTGTAGAAACAACCGTATTATATAATTAAATTATGATAAATATATTTGACTTTTGAATACCAGTTTTGTAATTAACATTACTTTTGTTTCATTCCCTAAATCAGTCTTTTCTTGTAATTTGGTCCTTTAACTAAAATTTTAGTTTAATCAAAATTAAAAGAATGTGTTTATCTTTCTATGTTTCTTCTGATTTCTAAATTTTGTGAAGTCTAACTTATTACATACATATATGTTGACTATTGCAATCATTAGATAGGCTAGAGTACAGAACATGGGAATTAGGTATTAAAACAGTAGTTTTACTGTTTAAAGGCGTAAACAATTGTTTCAATTGATTAACAGATTTATGAGCGACAGAAGTATTATATTTGGGTAGGATAAATTTATTTTTTTTAGACAAACATTGTATACCTATATGGTAATATAGTATATTGAAAGTTTGTAGAATTTTTGTTAAAAATTATTGTTTTTTTCGTTGTTAATTTATTATAGAATTAGTTAAGTATAATGCTCTATTAATTAAACTAATAACCACACTTTTTTCGTTAATTATAGGATTATAAGAATTATAATTTAATATCTGCCAGACAAAGTATGTTTTATAAACCATTTATTTAAAATTTTATTATTTACACGCAGTAAAGTTATATCAAGAAAATTAATTTCATTGTTGTTTGAGATTTCGACAGTAAAGTCTAATTTAGGATGAAAACCGTTAAACGTATTTAAAATATTATCAATTTTGTCTTTAGCAAATTTTTGTATTCTACGTAAAAAAATTAAGTGCCGGAAAAAATACAACACCAGCAGCTATAGGGGTTACCCAAAAATTTTAAAATATTGGGTTTCTCCAACGCCAAAGCCCAAAAATATATCGAAAATCTGTTTTAGCCGAAAATCACGACTTTCTTTCTTTAATAATGAATGAGATACCATGACATTGAAAATGAGATGCGCTGTACAGGACTATTCACAACATTTTATTTTTATTTTTTACTTTCGTACTTAGAAAAAAGTGGTATAGGTCAAAGTTGTAGGAAACATTCTTGTGATTTCAAATTATACTTAAAATGCAATTAAATGTAGTATTTCGGAGATACAAGCTAAACTGTAACATTTTTTTGACAGACCACCCTTTATATTTTTACACATGTGGCAAAGCGTTTCTTTAACATTACTGTGATATAAGGTAGATAGATCCATTTATGAGAGGAATATGGCCAAATGAGATAACTTTTTGTTTATATTAGTTTCTCTAAAAGTTTATGAAATAAGAAGGATTTAATCTGTATCACAATACTGATTTATTTGAAAATATATTTTTTAGGTTGGATAAAAACATAAATGTTTTAAGGCAGTTTTCTCGAAAACTGTAGGAATTATAATATCCTATCAAATGAATATTTTTTATGCAGAAATGACGCCAAAAAAAAGAAGGAATTTATCATAGTATTTTAATAATATTTAATACATAAACTAAAAATTGTTTCCATTCTAAATTTTGTGTTAAGCGGTACTCGAAAAAAAAAAACGAAAAATAACTTCAACCTGTATATTTTTCCACAGCAACATTTTACTTAGACATATTGGCCCTGTTTATAAAAATATATCATTTAAAAAATCTTTAAGTTGTATCTAGCAACCTTTCTGTGAAAAAAGTTCATATTTACATTCGACTGCCACAAAACCTTCCTATATCAAGTAGCATTGGAATAAGTAGCTGATTTGACTTTTTTCAAATTATGATATAAAATAACGATTAATGTATAAAACTTACCTATATTTCCGTCATAGCCGAAATCTTGACAATAACCTAAAACAGCAAGTTAGTTGGAAATTAAATAAATATATGTAGGTTGTCCATTCAGGATGAGATTGCAGGGTACAATAATAACATATAGAAAAAAAACTAATATAGGTGGTTGAACAGTTGGTTGGTTGCGCTATTGTCGGTTTAGGTTTCCCGACGTTTCGAAAGACATATCACTCTCTTCAGAAGAAGAAATTTTGAAACTCAGTTTCTTATTTTATCCTCAGACGAACATAAAATACTTTCTTATTTTTTTTTAACGCCGTTTGAATAATATGTACAACATAGGTCCCCTTGTACACTCGACGCAAGATAAAGGTTTCCAACCTAAAAGGCATACTACTTTTAAAGGCGCGAGCCAGTAGACTATTAATAGGAATTTTGGGAGGCATCAATAACTAGGGGTGTGTCATATTCTTTTTGTGTGTAGGCACGTGTGTAACGACACATAACAAAAAATTGCAGGCCTGAAGTATATGCATTATAAAAAGAGAAGAGTATACAAGTTTTGAAATTATTTTGTCTTGCCACAATAATTTTCTTGTCCCTGAGAAAATTAATATTTTGTATAATTTTGTATAAGAATTTGTGTCATATTCTGCAGAAAGGTCATGAAGGCAACAAAATAAAAAAATATTGTAGACTACAGTTTTATTATAACTTATACAGTTTCGGGAGGAAAGGGAAATATATTAAGGACGTGTTCTGGAAGTGAAAATAAGTAAATAAGTTTATGACATTATGGGTCCGGAAATGTTTCCTTTCTGAGATAGATGTCTAAAGAAATTTAAAATCCGATTTTTTTCTAAATATCTCGAAAACGATTTAAGAATTACACTACCACTGTACTAGACACCAAAGCTCAGTGAAATATCTTAAATCGTTTTCGAAATATTTTGGAAAACAGGATTTTTTAAAATTTACATCTATCAGAAAGGAAGCATTTCTGGGCCCATGTGTTATGAACTTATTTACTTATTTTGACATCATTTTATAAACAATGAAAAAACAAAACAGTCTAATAATATATAACCACCATCCGAATCAATAACGGCTTGTAATCTGTTTGGCATAGATGTAACAAGGCGTCGTATACAGGGTGTTAAAAAAATAATGTAAAATATGTAAGGAGGTAATAGTATGAACCAAAATAAGCAGAAAAGTCTCAAGTTTTATGTTTTTAGCCCCTTTTTTTATTTTGCAAAAATGTTGTGTATTTTCTTATAATAGTTGATGTTTAGTGAAATAAACAGTACGTATTTGACAGTTGTTCTCAGTGCACAAGTTTTCTTTCGCTATGGCTGGTTACTCTAACGCAGAATTAACAGACATGCATTTCATGTATGGTCGTGCTAATGGGAACGCCACCGAAGCGCGACGTCTTTATGTTGACGCTTATCCAAATCGCCAGATTCCTTCACAACGCATGTTTGGAAGAATTCACCAAAGATTGCGTGACACCGGTTCCTTGAGCAAAGAGTGCCATTTATCCGGAAGACCAAGGTCGGTATCCACTCCTAGAGCAGAAGAAGAAATTCTAGCACTGGTAGAGCAGAATCCAGGTACGAGTGTGCGGAGAATATCAGCCGAGGTAGGAATTAGTGGTCCTCTTGTTTGGAGAATCCTTCACGAGCAACTGCTTTATCCATACCATGTGCAACGAGTACAGGCCTTAAATCCAATAAATGATCATCAAGCACGTTTGGTTTTTTGCCGCTGGTTTCTACGTCATGATGCTGAAGACCCTCGTTTTCCTGCAAACATTCTTTTTACTGATGAGGCCGGGTTCACAAGAAATTTGGGCCGACGAAAATCCTCATGCTCTAATAGAATCTGGACATCAGGCACGTTTTTCATTAAATATTTGGATAGGTATTGTAGGTGACAGGTTTCTAGGTCCTGTTGTTTTACCAAACCGATTAACAGGCGCGGATTATCTCAACTTTCTGCAGAACAGACTGTATGAGTTTTTGGAAGACATTCCTTTAAATCAGAGGCAACAAATGTGGTTCCAGCATGATGGTGCTCCAGCTCATTTTTCCATGGCCGTTAGAGAGCATTTACACCAAACTTTTCCACATAGATGGGTAGGAAGGGCCGGACCTGTTTTATGGCCTCCAAGATCGTCTGATCTGAACCGTCTAGATTTCTTTGTTTGGGGATATTTGAAGACATTAGTGTATGGTACTCCTGCAAATAGCCTGGAAGAGCTGCAGCTACGGATTAATCAAAAGTGTCAAGAAATCCAAACCAAGGAGGGTGTTTTCGAAAGAGTTCGAATATCGTTGAGACGAAGATGTCGTGCCTGCTTGGAAATGGACGGAGGGCACTTTGAACATCGTCTGTAACTTTGTTTTTTGTTTGTTAAAAGCTTCCTTTGTCAGTTTATTCCTAATAAAATAAAATGTTTGAAAAACGAATAGTGGTCCATATCTCCGCAACCGTTACTTTGCGGACCCATGTTTATTTAGACTTTTCTGCTTATTTTGGTTCATACTATTACCTCCTGAAATATTTTACACTCCTTTTTTTTAACACCCTGTGTAATTCACGTCTATAGCGTTCCAAATATTTTGTATACGTTCCCAGAGCGTATCTCTATTTGGTGGAATATCGTCATACTGTTCCATTCAAGTGACGCATTACATAAGCCCATAAATGTTTTTTTATAAGAAGTAATTTCCATTTTGTTTCATTCCAAAATATTGATTAGAACCCGAGTTATCACGGAAATATTATTTTTGGGGATGAACCTGAGGGTTAGTTTGCATCCGTTTAAATCCATTTTAGGCTAAAAGAAAATATATTAGTCCTTATTAATATGTATTTACCTTTTTGAGATTAACAATGGATATTGAGCATACAATAATTTAAAGAAACACTGGTTTACTGACGCACAAAATAATCTATCTTTATCATAAGCATACGAGTTGTCCACAACATCAGTACCATGAGTGCGACAAAGCGAACGTGATTTTTTATCTTTGTCCTGGCAGTGTCGTAGGAGCTATATAAAATTCAAAATATATAAAGGTAAATAATTTCGAAGGCAACTTTTCATTATTTAAATAATCAATCGAATAGTATAGAAAAAAATTAAATGTAATATGTAATAATGTAATAAAAAGTAAATGAATTTTTATATAACTTTAAAAATATACAGGGGCTTGATTTTTGAAAACAGAACTGATTCTCCAGAGAAAAATATCACCTGGCAAATTTCTCTTAAAAACTTAAACACTAATTATGATGAAGCGTTCGTTCACGTCGAAAGCGCAAAAAAGAAATTAATATGCTTAGAAACGACGAAGAACTTTTTAAAATGAAAGTTTTCTTCTACTTTCACTCACAAAAGGCCCAAGAACCAGGGCCCCCGCTACCATATGTGCAAAGTGTGCAATGCACACGGGCGCCATCCTTTAGGGGCGCCAAAACCCAGGGTCAAAAATTGCAAAAATTTCCAAAAAAAACAAAAAACAAAAATTAATTTTAAAATAAAAGTTGAGAAATTAAATAGGATTAGGTATAAATACACACGAAATTTTATTAGTAAATCATCCAGTTACTGCCGATTCCTATGTTGCGAGAACATGTCAGGCGGTAGTTTCTTGATTTTTCCTGTGCAGACATGAACAATGCCCGGAGCGCTATAGAAGCGATGCATCGCCAGAGGCGTTTTTAAACCGGTTAGTTCACTGGACCGTGCAACAAGTGCATAAAAACAAGTAATCCTATTAATTTTTTACATTTAAAATTATTTTTATTTTGTCAAGTGTTGTATTGTATAATATTTTGTTTACTACTTTTTTTTCTAAAAAATTAAGTGCTGAATACCTGCTGACTGCAATTTCAACGGTTTGATTTTTTATAAAATGTTCCCTATTTTACTTTATACTATCAACATTAACCCTTTATAGGATACTGGTTATAATTATTATTTTTCACCCAAATATCTTTTTATTAATTGAAATGTCATGTACAGGGTCTTTGACTATATTTACGTGCTTCCTAGAGCCTTTATTATGTCAGATAGAAAAAAAATGTTTTTAAGCAGAAGTTGTAGGTTTTTTCCTATATTATCTTTTGAAGTTATCAGATAAAAACAAAATCGCATCGAAAATGAAAAAATATAGGCAGCATCCACTTTTTTTAATAAAACACCCTGTATATTATGCGCTAAAATGAAAGCCCTTTTTTCTCTGATTTGGAAAATATATATGTTGATATCATTTGGGTGAGCTGTTTTTAAGTTATATTATATTAGCTTAAATAAATTGCCATAGAAACAATTAGAAGAAACATAATTTATTTTCAATAGTCCAAATAGCAAACGAGTATCTTGATATCAAATTCATAAAACATAACAAATAACAATTACTTCCACATCACGAAGTGATGGGGAAGTATAGTATCGGTAAAAAAATTTCAAAAATTTTTTTTTGGCTTAATGGTCCTAAAATGTTCCAAAACGCGCAAAAAATACAATTTTAGCGAAAAAAAATTTCTGTCTATGTCTGTATGTCTGTTAGTTCCCGCGATAACTTTCGAAGGAATTAAGATATTGTATTGACTTCAAATTTGGCACACGGGAACGGTTCGGATTGTTTTTGAGCAAAATCGGTTCAGGGGAAGGGGGAGAAACGGGGGGTAAACGACAGTTTACCAAAAAGTTTGGTAAGTTTGTCAAAAAATGGCATTTTTTCGTAAAAAGTCGAGTAATATGTCGTTTTATGGGTTTTTGTAGATTTCAGTTTTACAATCTATTTGAGATTTTTGTAAAAAAATAGGGTGCGGGTAAAAAAGGGAGGGGGAAAATTCGAAATGTTTGAAAAAAAAATGGAAAAATATATCATTTTAAGGGTTTTTGAGTATCAAGATGTTAATTTTGTTTTATTTTATATTTGTCTAAAATTAGAAAAAATGGGGGTAATGGGTGGGAGGGGAGTGGGGGCAAAATAAAACGTAATTAGTTATTATTAATATATAAAAGTAGAAAAGTAAGT